ATATTTACTGTTTAAAAAATTCACATAAATGGCATATTGACATACCCTTTTGCAACATATCCACCATGTTTCCTCATTTAAATTTTAACAGGTAATACATGAATACAGCCCAAATCAAACCAATAGAAATAGGCATACCCCTTACCAATAACGAAAAAGAATGCCTGCTTCTCTATAGCCTCACCAACAAAGCTGCACCCAACTTTGATATTTTTGCCCACAAAGTAAGTGAAAAACAGTATTTCAGTTTAATTTTAAGGTGTATTTCTCTCATTTTTGAGGAGGGTTGAGTGTATTTTCATAACCTTAAAGGACTTTTATGTTTCTTCTTTTTTTTTTTTAATATTTTTTTTCCTATGTTTCTTTTTCTGAGAACCATCTGTTGATGTCCTTTGCCCATTTTCTATATGATATTTTTTCCCCCCAATTTTCTAGGAAATCTTTATACATCATGAGGGTGAGCTATTCACATGAGTCACAACTATCTTTTTTCCTAGTTTGTCATTTGTCTTTTGGCTTCGTGATAAGTATTTTTCGACCATTATATATCTTTCTTTTATGGCTTCTGGATTTTGAGCCTTCGTTTTAAATGTGTTCTGTAGTCCAAGGATATAAAGGGCATTTTGTTTCTTCAAATACTTTCATGTTTTAAATTTCTTATATTTAAAATCTTTGATACTTTTTGATCCTTTCAGGGTTTATCCCAGCAAATAATGTTGAATCCAGATGGCTGTTTAGTTTTCCCAACACCATTCATTAAAAAGTCTGTTCTTGCCTCCTGATTTATGATATACTAAATGCCCAATGCATATAGTCTTATTTCTGGACTTTCTATTCTGTTCCAACTGCTCATCTTTCTATGCATGAGCCAGTACCACAATGTTTTAATTATTGAAACTTTATAATATGTCTTAATACCTAAAGGGATATTTCTCCTTAATTGCTCTTGTTTTCAATATCCTTCTAGCTAGTCTTAATCATTAGCTAGTCTTAAATGTGAACTTTAGGATCAGCTTGCCTGAAAAACAAACAATATCTTTTGGTATTTTTACTGGGATGCATTTCCATTCATAGATTAACATTTAGAGTATTTAAATATTCATGGTGTTAAGTCCCTTAAGATGTTATGAAACTAAGTATGTGGTGTATTATCTCATTTACTCATGTTTTCACTTGTCTTCCAGTTGTGTGTTAATGTTTTCTTCATATGGGTTTTACACATTTCTCATATAGGTATATTCATATGGGTTTCATATTTCTCATTAAGTTATTGCTCTTCTACATGGAGTCTTTTATTCCAGTATATCTTTTATTATGTAAAGGTAAGGCACATTTTTTTAAAGACTAGGCCGTTTTGGGGAAAGGTATCCAGAGATTTTGTGCATTTTTTTCTTCGTCTTCTTTCATATTTGTAATAACCTCTACCATATTACACTGCACCACTCTGGGAGCTTCCTATTTTATCTCGTCATGATTACTTAAAATTTTACAAATTATTTTCCCGGTGTTGTATAACTCCCTTTGACCTAACATTCAATTCAAAATTCAACTGACCATTTAAACTCCAGTCTCTTCTTTCCAGCCATTATTAAAATTGTCTTCATAGACCTCAGGCCAAAATCATAATGATCCTATCAAACATTAAAATATTTGAGTTATTGTTTCTGAGTAAAACAATGGAAAAATTTGCAGATAAATGCATATAGTTAAATCACTAATCATCTATGCTACAAAGAGAAACAGTGATACGAATTCAAGAAACCCTCAACTCTGTTTCTAATGCTCTCCCTTCTCTGCCAAACTGGTTTTCCTAACAGTCTCCTTCTTAAAAGGAAGATTAACAAGTACAGTCACAGGTTACTTAACGAGAGGGATGCATTCTGAGTAATGTGTCATTGGGTGATTTCATCATTTTGAAACATGACAGAATGAGTGCACTTTCACAAACCCAGATGGTACAGCCTACTACACACCTAGGCTATATGGTACTAACCTTATGGGACTACCGTCATATATGTGGTCCGTCATTGACTGAACGTTATGGGGCGCATGATTGTATTAAAGGTGTTAAAAACTATCAGTATCTGAATTAAATTTTCACTGAGGAGAGATTGAAAAATATTGTTAAGAGGAATACTTTGGAGATAATGCAGTTAGCTATCCAAACCATTTTGGGTTATAAACAAATACTCATTAAGCTGGCATATCCTTGAACAATAATTTTCAAAGTGTGGTACTCAGATCAGCAACATTAGGAAAACTTCAGAACTTATTAAAAATGAAAATTCTTGAGCACCACCCCAGATACTTAGAAAGTTGGCATAAGGTCGAGCAATCTGTGTTTTAACAAGTCCTCCAAATTATTTTGATGCACAATAAAGTTTGAGAACCACTGCTCTAGATGTTAACTTCCTTGTATGGAGAAAGTAGTCTGCAATTAAAATAAGACACTTGACTACTCTCTCCAGATCTCAGAGAAAAGGCATGGAACCTTGACTGACTTTACACAGGGCCTTACACCCAAATCGGTGCATGGACTTGATGTGCTGATAGGAATTCTAACTTCATTATTTTCCTAGTCATTCCTGGAACAATACCAGAAAAGTTTTATATAATCACGTTTATTTTGAGAAAAACAGTTCATTACCTGTTGTGAGAGCTGTTTGCTAGCTAATTCTAAAAGGCTAACTAGCTTTCCAGAGAGTGATTTTGCAGATTTGAAACCAACCGAAAACAGCATTATTTCAGCAATCATCTGATAATGGGGAGCCATCATTGCCACTGGTCGAAATAGAGATTTTAAGTTATCTGGGAGTTCTACTCGATCCTTGTATCTTGAGAAGACAAGAAAAACAAAAACAAAAAAAACCACTTTTCAGTTTTTCAAATGAGGAAGCACATAGTATAACTTTCTCCCAAATAATTCTATTGGCTTTCTATGTGACCCTTATCTGAAAATGAGTTTACAAAACGGTTTCTGTTGTACTTTTCATCTCACAGTGCTTCCTAGTTTATGATCTTTTCTTCCTGTGCCTCCTCCCACAATTCACCTCACATCAGTTCCCTCCAATTCCCTGGACCATCACAACATTCCATCACGAGATATTTATTGAGCTGCCCAGCCTCCACTCCCTGTAACCACCATTCTTATTATTTCTGCTATTCTCATCAGCTTTTCTGTCTGTATCTGATTTGTGACAATCTGTCGACCTTTGCTTTTCTCTCTGGCTATTTATGAAGTGAAAATGTCCCTTGGTCAGAGCTTAATGTGACATCATCCATATGGATAAGTGCAGAGTTGTAGCTGTTGAGAGATGGTGTGGGTAGTTAAGGAGTTAGGAGCGGGTGGTGGAGGGTGAATGATAGAGATACACGTCAGACAACTCCGTCTATGGATACAATTTAAGAAAAAGATTTTGGCCTGTCTCTACTTCTACCCAGATTAACTGATACTTACCCAGGATTCATGGTGGCAAATATTGCACAGGACATATTAATACGAACTTCTTTTCCTTCCAGTACAAACCTACAAGACATTACAGTATTCATCATTAAGAGAACTATTTTCTCTAGGGCCACAGTGTGTTAAAACTACAAATGAGTTTGGAAATTTTCCTAATGTTGTGTTACATTTCAATCCAAACAGAGCATGCTGGAAAAAAGACAACGGTAACAGGGGAAAAAGAGGCTCATCTTGAGCCAAAGTTGTGCGCCCTGCTGGAATCCAGATTTATTTGATCACGTCTGAAGGCGTCTGGAAAGTTTTGTGGGGCCTGAGGGTGGAAAGTACCCTCTGAATGAACTGACTCACACGGGGAGAACGTCCTGAGGGGACCTGGGGGCTTGGAGCTCCACCTGGATGACACGGTGGCGTGCAGGACAGCCACAGCACAGAGTTCCTGCTTTAGCATGGAAACAGCCTGCCCTTCACCCCCAATTAAATAATCTGGGCAACACTGTGAAATGGACCCCTTGGCAGGACATCAGCATCCTGTCATCAGCACCGGTGGTAGACAATGCAGGGAAATCCTCCAGTGACTTCATGACGACTGAGACCAAGAGGCTGGTCAAACAGGAAAGGAAGAACAACTGGGACACGACTGAGGAAAACTGAGACCCGGTGAACAACTGGTGAAATGGGGCTTATGTGACCCCCACTTACATCCACAAACTTGTGGGGCCTCAAAACAGTGGCTCGAGCAGTTTGAACAAAACCCTGAGAGGAAGGCCAGGAGTGAGCGTCCATTAGCTTGAGTTAGAAATAGTAGATTGCAATAGGAATTTTAAATCCACAAATCCAATTATGCTCATAAAGTAAATCATGTAAGTACCTGACTTTATCTGAGGAGAAAAAATTTTTGCTTGAATTAGTAAATATTAGTAATCCTAACATACAAATACTGTTATTACAGGACTTTTCAGCAAAAGTATATCAATTCAGAGAAACGGAAGAAGAGCGGGCTTCAGGTGTGTGGCCGGTATAATTTTGCTTTTTTAAAGATGTAGAATTACAGAAAGAAACTTGGTTTCTTCAAATATCATAAGATGAAAAGGGACTAAGGGAATTTAAACTCAAAAGGAAAAGTCATTAGGACAGAGGTGCATTATTGTCGTGGGAGCTCAGCAGCGCGTCCCAAGTCCCAAGCTGGGGCGGGTTTGGAGGCCGCCAGGGTGGCATCAAAGGTCGTTATATATTTTCTCCTTATTCGCCAAGCAAAGGAAACATTCAAGACAAGTGCCATTCCTTTCGGTTTCTGCTTAAAAACTAAACCCCAAACCCAAACACCTACTGTAGGGAAAACCCGTAACGATACAGCAGCAAACGCAAGCGCCGACGGGCTCCGCGGCCGCAGCTACCTGACGGAATAGCTGTCCTTCGCGGCCTTAATCGCCAGGATCTGCGAGGCCACCACGGAGAGAACTCCCGCCTCAGGCCGACTGAAGTCTGTGAAACAACACCACGCTCCCGACTGAACTATTCCAAAGAAGAATTTTCCCATTATCTTAAAAAAAAGAAAAGTGATTACTGAAGTTATTACATAGGTGAAAAATTTTACTGGGAGATTAATGTCTGCACGTTCTTCCCATTTTACCCAAACCAAGCCACACAGTTCGCACGGGCCGCCCCCACGCAGCTCGTGGAGCCCAAGCCAGCTGCCGCTCAGCCTCCCAGAGTCGCCGCCCACGCTGCACGCGCCCTGTAAAAACCCTGACACGCAGCAGCGAACTCGGAGCTGCCCAGCGGCCTCTGCGTCCGCACGGCCAGCACGCCCTGGCCTCGACCCTCAGAGCCGCGGGGGCCTGGACTCTTCACGACAGTTTTCCGGCACATGGTCGTAAAGTGTCTGAGGGCAGGGCTCCTTGGCGTGGGTCAGGCGCAGACTTGCGGGTGTGTGGGGGGCTGGGAGTAAGAGCCCAGTTTCATCCGAGAGGGGCGTTCGGGCCCGGACTGGAGCGGGCCCGCTAGAGTACGCGGCTGCTGCCCAGCTCCTGCTGTTTGCGATGGTGCAGGCCCAGCATGGCCTGTCGTGTGAGGCTGAAAGTCTGGGTTGAAATCTGTTGATTTATAAATGTTAGCAGCTAAAACAGAACAAAACAGACGCACTGTCCGATCAAACAGCGCCGTGCACTGAGCACGGGTGGAGGCTGCCTGAGCTCCTGAGGCCTCCGCTCGGCGTGGCCGCGGACCCGGAGGGGATGAGAGGTCTTCAGGCCCGGGAGGATTCGGGAGGTGGTTCCTCCCACTGGCTGCAGGAACCCGATCTTGTCTTTATTTAAAAGTTTGATATTTTGTTTATCATGGGTTTCTTGGCATTAATTTTGATTCAAAAAGATGTTGCATTAAAGTATTATTTATCTGATTACTAGGTTTTTTGGCCCCTCCTTTAAGTTTTGCTCAGCAGGCAAGGGTCTCACTCAGCTCAGCCTCGTCCCGGCCCCGCTGCCCCCACTGGGAGGTAGTTTCCAGGGAGGGGACAAGAGACTCGGTTCGGTAAGTGTGGTGAGAACTATAATTCACTCAGCTTATTTATGTTTATTGATATTTTTAATGTGTTACGTGAGCACAGATTGGAAATGCAGGAAGTCAGAGGTAATGTGCTTTGAACTGCAAGTAAAGTGATGCCAATAAAATGTAAAAGACTCGGACTCAATGTGCAAAACCTTATCAATTGAAATGTTCTGAAACTTCAAGTAAATTTGTGACGGGCACAGAGGTACATGAAGTTTTCATAAATATATTTCAAAATGTTATGACATATGTTTTAGTGTGTCAGCAAGACAAAATAAGGCTAACACAAATTATAATCATCCACATAAACTGACTCAAATTTTTGTGTTCATTCTAATAGCCTCATTATTCTTAATGATTACCTTTTCAGTAAATAAAAGTATAGAGTTAGAACTTATGAAATAAATGTATATTAATAATGCAGTACTCTTATTTTTTTTAATATATTCATACTCCGCATCAGATTTTGTGCAGAAAGAGCCCTTTGTCAAAAAGTTTGAAAACCACTGTCTTAAGAAATAGATTAGTAATAAAAGCAAACTGTATGATGTCTTAAGTTTCTATTACATTCTAAGTTTCTATTCAATTAGTTTAAAAGAATTAATAGCATTTATAATTCTATTAATATCTTATATAGTTATATAACTATATTTAATATAGATCTTATAGTTCTATTAATGCTTAATATCTAAGATAAATTTTTTCTAGTTCTTTCAATCTTCAATGAATTATTTCTTTTATGTGTATAGTATTTTTCCTGGGTATATATGAATAAGCTTTACCTTACAATCCAAGTCGTGAAAACATTTGAAGACCACACAATGTTTGCCTAAGGACTGGAAAAAAATATTATTTTAATATATATCTTGAAATATGACACAAAATACTAATGTTAAATCTTCCAGAGTAATAGAAAAAAAGTCTTTATTTTATGTTTTGAAGATTAGCCCTGAGCTAAACTTCTGCTGCCAATCATCCTCTTTTTGCTGAGGAAGACTGGCACTGAGCTAACATCCGTACCCATCTTCCTCTGCTTTATATGTGGGATGCCTACCACAGCATGGCTTAGCAAGTAGTGCCACGTCTGCACCCAAATCCAAACCAGCGAACCCCAGGCCGCCGAAGTGGAACATGTGAACTTAACCACTGCACCACCAGGCCGGCTTCAAATGTCTTTATTCTTTTGAGAAAACTTATGCAATATAAAGATGAATTACATACCAAGTTTAGAAATTCAGGAAACTCTATGTAGTATAAAGGCACATATATTGTTATAGTTTAGATGGGGGTATGTAGCGCATTAAGGTCATGTTTTTAAACACATCAGCAAATAAAAAACTAAGAAAAAAGCATTCCAGTGATGTTTTCATCAGTTACTTCTCTCTCTGTGTGTGTCTCTCTCTTACACACACACACTGCTGTTAATCACAAAGACTAGGCAAAAGTCTGTGTATGGCACTCAAAATAAATGAATCACCCCTACAAGAAGGGGACGAGGGACAGAACTACCATTCACATGTCAGTCAGCTATTACAGTGGTACTCCAAATAAATGGAAAGCATATGTTGGCTTATGTTGTGTGCTGAGATCCCAAGTCCCAGCACACAATCGACATTCAAAACTTAGTTGATGAATTGTATGAATTAATGAATGTGCTAATATGTTTATTAAATGTTATGAACATCTTAACAGCAAGAATGATATAAATTTAAGGTACTGTTAAAGTTTGTGTGACTAAAAAAAAAGTTTTTATTCTGGATATAGAAACCACTTACTTTTGCTAGGTCTTTGACACTCTCCGTTTTTCCCGTACCAGTTGGACCAGTAGGGCAGCCTCCTAGATTCAGCTTCAGTGCTCCAGTGAGAGTCAGCCAGCATCTGTCAGTGAGAGGTGTAACAGCCAATCTTGGAGTACAGCCCAAGTACTCGTAGCCATAGGTAAAGCTGGCATCTCCTTGAGATACATAGCACAACTTTTGTTTTTCATCCCATTTATATTGCAAATGCCTGAAAACAATGATTTAAAGTTCGTATTATTTGGGAAAAATTAGTTTTAGTTTTTTTTCACATGGAGAAACATAAAAAGGGAATGTTGATTTAAAAATATAGAAATAAAAAACGAAAATCAAATGAAAAGAGTGATGGATAATTCATCAATGACTATATTAGACATGAAATACTAGAACTCAGAAGACTACAAACATGAGCATTCTTCCTTCTGAGGAAAATGGCCCTGCTGAATCTTGCTGCTTTTGTGAGATGTTAGCATAAATGGAGGATTTATATAAGAATCATCCTTATGAAGTTTATTATGGTTTCCAATAAAAATGTGGTTTAAGACATTGCTTATTATAACCAGGATCCTTACTATGTGGGTAGTTGAGAGAAATGCTATTTGTTCTAAGTATCAAAAAAAATTGTACTTTGGGGGAATAGATTGCATTTATCTTATGAACACTGTGAGTTGTGTAGCTAAGCATAAATTTTCTCCTCTATAAGGCTGTGAGTTAAATTTCTGATCTGTTTATAACCTTTACAGGATGCAGTCTCTTTTCCCCCAGTTGTATTGAGATATTGACATAGCATTGTATTAGTTTGAGGTGCACAACATGATAATTTGATATGTGTATGTTTTGCAAAATGATCACCACAGTAAGTTAACATCCATGATCTTACATAGTAACAAATTTTTTTTCTTTAGATGAGATCTTTTAACATCTACTCTCTTAGCGGCGTTCAAATATACAATAGAGTATTGTTAACTGTAGTCACCATGCTGTAAATTATATCCCCAGAACTTATTTTTCTTGTAACTGGAAATTTGTACCTTTGACCACCTTCACTCATTACCTGCACCCTCCACCCCCCACCTCTGGCAACCCCCAATCTGTTCTCTGTTTCTATGAGTTTGTTTTTTTAGATTTCACATATAAGTGAGATTATACAGTATTTGCCTTTCTTTGTCTGACTTATTTCACTTAGCATAATTCCATCAAGGTCCATCCATGTAACAAATGGCAGGATTTCTTTCTTTTTTAATGGCTGAATGATATTCCATTCTACACATGTACTACATTTTCTTTATCCATTCATCAGTTGATGGATGTCTTGGCTATTATAGATAATGCTGCGATGAACGTGGGGGTACAAATATCTTTTTGAGATAGTGATTTCGTTTCTTTAGGATACATACCCAGAAGTGGAATTGCTGCATCATATGGTAGTTCTGTTTTTAATTTTATGAGAAACTGCCATACATTTTCCACAGTGGCTGCACCAAATTATGTTTCCACTAAAAGTGCACCAGGGTTCCCTTTTCTCCATATCCTTGCCAGAACTTATCTCTTGTCTTTTTGATGACGACCATTCTAACAGTGTGAAGTGACACCTCATTGTGCTTTTGGTTTGCATTTCCCTGATGATTAGTGATGTTAAACACCTTTTCATGTACCTAGTGGCCATTTGTATGTCTTTTTGGAAAAATGTCTATTCAATTCCTTTGCCCATCTTTTAATCAGATTGTTTGTATTTTGCTATTGAGTTGTATGAGTTCTTCATATATTTTGGATATTAACCCCTTATTAGATATATGATTTGCAAATATTTTCTCCCATTCAGTAGATTGCCTTTTCATTTTGTTGATGGTTTTCTTTTCTGTGCAGCAGCTTTTTAGTTTGATGTAGTCCCTCTTGTTTTTTTTTTTTTGTTCCCTTTACTTTTGGTTCAAATCCAAAAGATCATTGCCAAGACTGATGTCAAAGAGTTTACTGCCTATGTTTTCCTCTATGAGTTTTATGATTTTAAGTCTTATGTTCACATCTTTAATCCATTTTGAGTTAATTTTTGTGGTTATTTTTTATTTTTTTGCTGAGGAAGATTTGCCCTGAGCTAACATCTATTGCCAATCTTCCTCTTTTTGCTGAAGGAAGATTTGCCCTGAGCTAACATCTGTGCCAGTCGTCCTCTATTTTTTATGTGGGTCACCACCAAAGCATGGCTGCCGACAGGTGGTGTAGGTCTGGGCCCAGGAACTGAACCTGGGCTGCTTAAGTGGGGCATGCTGAACTTAACCACTAGGCCACAGGGCCAGCCCTAATCCATTTTGATTTAATTTTTGCATATGGTGTAAGATAGTGGTACAGTTTCATTCTTTACATATTGCTGCCTAGTTTTCCCAGCACCATTTATTGAAGAGACTATCCTTTCCCCATTGCATATTCTTGGCTGTTTTTTTTTATACATTGATTAACCATATATGTATGGCTTTATTTCTGGGCTGTCTGTTCTGTTACGTTGATTTATGTGTCTGTTTTTATCATACCGTTTTGATTACTATAACTTTGTAATATAGTTTGAAAGCAGGAAGTGTGATGCCTCCAGCTTTTTTCTTCTCTCTCAAGACTTTTTTGGTTATTCAAGGTCTTTTGTGGTTCCATACAAATTTTAGGATTTTTTTTCTATTTCTGTGAAAAATGTCATTGGAATTTTGATAGAGATTGCATTGAATCTATAGATTGCTTTGGGTAGTATGGACATTTTAACAATAGAAATTCTTCTAATCCTTGAGCATGGAATATCTTTCCATTTATTTGTCTTCTTCAATTTCTTTAATCAGTGTGTCATAGTTTTCATTGTACAGATCTTTCACTATCTTGGTTAAATTTATTCCTATGAATTGTATTCTTTTTGATGCAATTGTAAATGGGATTGTTTTCTTAATTTCTCTTTCTGATACTTTGTTGTAAGTGTACAGAAATGCAACTGATTTTTGTATATTGTTTTGGATTCTACAACTTTACTGAATTCCTTTATTAGTACTAAGAGTTTTTTGGTGGAGTTTTTATGGTTTTCTATATATAGTAGCATGTTATCTGCAAATAGGGACAGTTTTACTTCTTCCTTTCCGATTTGGATGCCTTTTATTTCTTTTCCTTACTTAACTGCAGTAACTAGGATTTTATGTTGAGTAAAAGTGGTGAGAG